TATGAATATATATGGTTATTACATGGTAAGGGCCGGGCATAGGCGGTGATTGACTCTTGCGAGAGTCGAAGCTCGGAGCGACCCCTGCGGGGGTCTGAGCTGCTGTAGGCATTTCTCCTGCTGAAGTCTAGGAAAGGGAGGGGGCGGTGGAGACTGCAGCAGGAGGTGGCCGGGGCGGGACTCTTGCGAGAGTCGAAGCTCGTTTTAGTCACTCCTGCAGGAGTTAGAGCTGAGGATTGATGGCCTATGAGAAAGGAAGAAAAGAGAGGGCGGAGGAACTCGACGCCAAAGGAAGAAAAGGAGAGAGGGAATAACCTGCGTGCGTGAGCATGCATGTGCGTCTATTCCTGTTTCGGCATATTCAATTCAATTCAATTCAATTCAGCTTTATTTGTATAGCGCTTTTACAATGTAGATTGTGTCAAAGCAGCTTCACATAAATGGTCATAGTAACTGGAACAGTGTGGTTCAGGTTTTAGTGTTTAAGTTCAGTTCAGTTCAGTTTAGCTCTGTTCAGTGTGATTTAATCATTACTGAGAGTTCAAACACTGAAGAGCAAATTCATCGATGCGTAGCTCTACCAATCCTGAACCATGCGAGGCAGTGGCGACAGCGGAGAGGGAAAAAAAACTTCACCTGATGGGAGTGAAGAAAAAAAAACCTTGAGAGAACCAGACTCAGTTGGGCACGACCATTTTAATTTCTCCGCTGGCCAAAAGTCTTGTGCAGAGCTTCATTCGCCGTGGTTTAGGCTGGAAGATGGCCTCAGCGAAGACTCGTCTGTCCCTGGAACGTCGCTGGAATCCGACTCATGTTCTCCACTCCCCACGACCATCAGCGCAGCAGCAGCTCCGGATATGGCCTGGTCCCGGATATGGAATCCTTGGGATCATCACGTCGCTGGTCTTGGATCCAATCAGTGACTCCGCATAATCTGAGGACCTCGGGATGAGTATCCCCAGGTGAAAATAGAGAATAAAGAAAATAATTAGCGTAGCTGCTGTTCATAGTGTATATAAACAAGATGCAGAAGCCAGTGTGGAGCCCGCTAGGTGATGCATTGAGTGTATGCTTTACTAAACAGATAGGTCTTTAATCTAGTTTTGAACTGGGAGAGTGTGTCTGAGCCTCTGACGTTATCAGGAAGGCTATTCCAGAGTGTAGGAGCCATGAAAGAGAAGGCTCGACCTCCTTTACTTGATTTTGCTATTCTAGGTACTACCAGAAGCCCTGAATTTTGAGATCTTAAAGAGCGAGTTGGTTTGTAGCGAGACAGAAGGTTGGTTAGATAAACAGGAGCTAGATTATTTAGAGCTTTATAGGTGAGAAGTAATATTTTAAATTCAATACGAAACTTAACAGGCAGCCAGTGTAAGGAGGATAAAATTGGGGTTATATGATCATATTTTTTAGACCTGGTGAGAACTCTGGCTGCTGCATTTTGTACTAATTGAAGTTTGTTAATAGAGGATGCTGGGCAGCCAGCAAATAGAGCATTACTGTAATCCAGCCTCAAAGTCATAAAAGCATGGACTAGCTTTTCTGCATCTGAGATGGATAGCATATTTCGTAATTTAGCAATATTTCTCAGATGAAAGAAGGCAGTTTTTGTGACATGGGATATATGGTTTTTAAAAGTTAAATTGCTGTCTAATATGACACCCAAATCTTTTATAGTAGAGCTAAAGCTAACTTTGTATCCCTCTAATTGTAGATTGAGTTGCGAGATCTGCTGTGTACAAGATTTAGGCCCAATAAGTAATAATTCTGTTTTGTCTGAGTTTAAGACAAGAAAATTGTTGGTCATCCAGTCTTTAATGTCTTTGATACACTCAGTTAGTTTAGACAGTTCAGACGTCTCGTCAGGTTTAGTTGAAATATATAATTGAGTATCATCTGCATAGCAGTTAAAGCTGATCTCATGTCTTCTAATAATGTCTCCCAGAGGTAGCATGTAAATTGTAAACAGTAAAGGGCCAAAAAACTGATCCTTGAGGCACCCCATACTTTACTGGGCAGATTTGTGAAGGCTGTCCATTAATATTCACAAACTGTTAACGGTCAGTTAAGTATGACTTAAACCATTGTAGAGCCAGTCCCTGGACACCTGTAGACTTTAAGCGATTTATGAGGATATTGTGGTCAATGGTATCAAATGCCGCACTAAGATCGAGTAAAACTAATAGCGAGACGCACCCTCGGTCAGCAGCTAAGAGTAAATCATTGGTTATTTTCACTAAGGCAGTTTCTGTACTGTGGTGAGCCCTGAAACCTGACTGAAACACTTCAAAAATATTGTTCGTCTGCAGAAAAGAGCATAATTGAGTGGAAACAACTTTTTCTAGTATTTTAGACATAAATGGAAGATTTGAAATAGGCCTATAGTTAGCTAAGTTGTTGGTGTCTAGTTGCGGTTTCTTAATAATAGGCTTAATAACAGCTAGCTTGCAAGAGTTTGGAACATGGCCTATAGATAAAGAAGAGTTGATAATATTAAGAAGTGGTTCTCCTATAGCAGGTAGCAATTCTTTCAGTAATTTTGTTGGAATTGAGTCCAGCATACACATAGCTGGTTTAGAGCTATTTATAATTTTATCTAGCTCTTCCTGTTCTATGATTTTGAAGCACTGTAGGTTATTATTATTATTATTATTATTATTATATATTTACAGGATTTGGAGATTAAGCCAGTGCAGAAAGTTTGGCATCTCCTATTTTCTGTCTAAACTCTAAAGCCTTCTATTTTAGCATTGAAAAATTCATGAAGTCATCACTACTAATTTGCGGTGGAACATTTTGTTCCATAGTTGACCAATTATTTGTTAATTTAGCAATGGTATTAAATAAAAATTGTTATGATTATTTTCTATCAGTTTGCGCAGGTGCTCGGCCCTGGCAGATTTTAGAGCCCTTCTATAGCTGGACATACTGTCTTTGTACGCAATTCTAAAGATCTCTAAATTAGTTTTTTTTTCCATTTATGTGCTAATGTTGTTTTTAATTCATATTTATGTGTGATTGCAGTCATTATGTCCAATTACTATGGTAAACAATACTAAGAGTGTGTCACACAAGCTCTCACTAAACAAATGTGCGAATATAAAATCAACTTTACCTTAGTTGAGGTTACTCCTAGAGCCTACAGTGAAGCACAGTTGAGCGAGAAGCCCGTGGAGAGAAAGCCTTCAGCTCCGCGTCAGCATGTCTCCCAAAGTCTAATAAACACACTAAAAAGCAAACAAAGTCACAACGCTGTAACTATACAAGACATTTATTATACTAGCAAACTGATGCTACTAGCCGTCTTATATGTTGACATTTTTACACGCTTTAAAAAAGTATATTGTATACGCTTAACAATACAAGCTAGCAGCAGTGCTAGTCTACTCCAAAATAAACACATTGCGTTGCTTCAAATTACTAAATCATGCTCACTGACTTGAAAGTTGACAAACATGAACGAAAATCAAGTTGTCTTACCGTGTACAGCTCTTGTTTTCATTGACCTGCATCTCCGACTGATCCAGGAGTGTTTCTCGCTGTTTTCGCGTCTGCTATCAGTCTTAAGATTCATCCCATTTCACGAACCAAAATAGCAACATGAAACTTGTGGACTTGATATGTTGACAGACTGGAGTTTGTGCAGTTCCCATAAACGTAATAAAATAGCACGATGATGATAAATTACACCAAAACTAACAACCATTTCTGCTGTTAGCTCCTCTGCCCCACTGTAAACAACGCGTACCTGTTACATAAGTCACTCTTCTGATGTCACCGGGCACAAAAGCGGACTTTTCGGAAGTAGGAAAACAGACACATTTTCTTAAAAATTTGTGCTTTTGCAGTTTGTAAAACATATTAATATGATATTTTATGGTATTAGAGTATTTTCACAAACGATACTACCTTTTTTTTTTTTTTTTTACAGTTTTTTAACCTACAATATGCTGTTTAATACCTGTCGCTCTGCCTAAATCATCAAATATTCATCAAGTTTGTATTCTACTCAAAAAAGTAAATGTAGTAAACTAGAAAGAATCTTGATCCTAGAAGTAAAGAAACTTTACAAATAAAAGATGCAACATAGGACAATTGAATGGGTTTTCTAAACTTGAGGCCCTGGTATATGCAAACTAACCGTCCTGGAGCTCCACCTTCTTTGATGTGTGGTGTAGTGATGCTACTCATTCAGGGAGTCAGACAGAGAACATCATCCAAAACAACACTAGCTACATGAATACACTGGAGAGTGGAGTACAGATGTATCCGCACCTGTACAATCACTTGCAAAGAGAGATTTTAATCCGCAGAGGTGCTGTTTGCCAGATGTTTATGAAACTGTTCTTTCAGCCGCCATCATTGAGTTTACAGTAAACGTGAGGAGCACAACACATTTACAACCCCACCTACTGCAGTGTAGGAGTGTTGGAAAACAGTATACCGTCACTCAGCCTTTTCAAACATTATTCAGACATGAAACATCCTGTGCACATGAGAAAATGTTTTGCTGCATTTATATCATGTGTGCAACTTTTGTCCAATTCTGTAGACACTGATTAGATCTGTACGGTTTCTCTCCAGTGTGAATCCTCTTTTGTGTGATTCAGATGTGTTAACTGATTAAACCTCTTGTCACAGTGTGAACACTTGTACGGTCTCTCAAGTGTGAAACGTCTGGTGCAGTTTCAATTTTGTAATAAAAGTCTTCTCACACTCAAGCACATATACTCTTTCACACCAGTATGGATCTTCATGTGTTCATTAAGGTTTGCTGATTGGTTGAAACTCTTCCCACACTGAGTGCATGTAAATGGTTTATCTCCAGTGTGGGTCTTTATGTGTTTATTAAGGTCTGAGGAGTTGTTGAAACTCATCCCACCCTGAAGCTGCGGTCACACTAGAGTTTGAGCATGCAAAATTCTGTTGTTTGGCGCTGCGAAAAGGGGCGGGATTAAACAAGATGATTAGACATAAAAAAGTGAGCGATTGGTACATATTTTACATTTCTGTCCAGAAAGGTCATGTTTTTATCTTTAATTGGTCTCACAGTCAAGTGATGAGATTTCGCAGGTCAGAGTTCACCAAGCTTGAACTTTGCAACGCAGTGAACTGCGAAACTTATCACACAAACTTGGTTTGTGGTCTGAAGCATTCCCGTGCTTATGAAAGGAAATCCATGGGGAGAAAAGTCCAGTGTGACCGCGGCTTAAGTGCAAGTGAATAGTTTCTCTCCAGTGTGGATCATCATGTGTCGATTACGGTGTGATGATCGGCTGAAACTCTTCTCACATTGAGTGCATGTGAATGGTTTCTCTCCAGTGTGCATCTTCATGTGTTCATTAAGGTGTGATGATCGGCTGAAACTCTTCCTACACAGAGTGCATGTGAATGGTTTCTCTCCAGTGTGGATCCTCATGTGAATCTTAAGATCCCATTTTCTTCCAAAACTCTTCCCACACTGAGTGCAGGTGAATGGTTTCTCTCCAGTGTGGATCCTCATGTGTTTATTAGGGTGTGATGAGCAGTTAATAGTCTTTCCACACTGGGTGCAAGTAAAGGGTTTCTCTCTAGAGTGGACCTTCTTGTGTTTATTAAGGTGTGATGATCGGCTGAAACTCTTCCTACACAGAGTGCATGTGAATGGTTTCTCTCCAGTGTGGATCCTCATGTGAATCTTAAGATCCCATTTTCTTCCAAAACTCTTCCCACACTGAGTGCATGTGAATGTGTTCTCTCTAGTGTGGATTGTCATGTGAGTCTTAAGATCTAAATTTCTTCCAAAACTCTTCCCACATAGAGTGCATGTGAATGGTTTCTCTCCGGAATGAATCTTCATGTGTTCATTAAGGTGTGATGATCGGCTGAAACTCTTCCCACACTGAGTGCATGTGAATGGTTTCTCTCCAGTGTGGATCCTCATGTGAATCTTAAGATCCCATTTTCTTCCAAAACTCTTCCCACACTGAGTGCAGGTGAAACGATTCTTGTCTCTCCTTTTCAAAATGTCATCAGTCTGTAAATTAGTTTTTTCTTCAATTTTGACATGATGTTCCTCCTCTTTACTCCCATTATTCTCTTCAATTAGGTCTGAAATAAATAAAACATTAGTTTTCATTAAGTCTTAAAACTCTCATGAAAAGTGAAAAGACACTGGAAACATTGGCTACACACACTGTAATTTTGATGCATGGCAAATTAAAATAAACCAGATCATATTTTGTTTGGTCCATTAACGTGTACACATTTAAGCAGATTCAATTTATCTTTATTTATCTAGTGCTTTTACAATGTAAATTGTGTCAAAGCCGCTTAAAGAGCCCATATTATGGGTTTTTGAAAATTCCCCTCCATGTAGTGTGTAACACAGCTCTAAGTGAAGTGAAGTATCCAGCTAAGGCTTAAATCTGTTAGTGTACAGTGTTTAAAACTGTTGATTCATCTATAAAAGAGTCGACTCATAGTGCTTCAAACGAGTCGCCTTGATACCGATTCATTAGGTGTTTCGCCATGACGTACAAACGAAACCAAGTTATTCACGTGCACGCGCAAACCCGGGAGATTTCAAACCTGAGGGCCCGCCCTCTGACGCAGAAACCCAGACACACACACACACCCACAAACACAAACACACACTCACAAACATGCCGGTCGATTGAAGTCACACTGCAGATGGATATATTGAGTCTCGACCCAAAGATGAAACATCAGCATTATAGCCAAGCAGTTGGAAACTTCTGGAAACTACATGCTACAAAGAATACTTCATCAGCGTTTGTTAAAGGAAGGATCAGTAAAGAGTAACTTACTGATGGACGTCAGGATGGATTTTTCTTTCTCCATTTCTCAAATGTAAGTACGTGCGATTAAAGTTGCCTCGTTGACTCTAGCTTGCAAATGTATTAGTTGTGATTTGTTACTTGTAACCGCGTGTACTGTATCAGGTTAACTGACTATATTCCCTTATCGCGTGCAAAGTCATGTTAAAAACGCGACGCGTGCTGCTTTGTTAACGGAGCTCCGTGGACGAGGAGTAGTGTGTGTGTCTGTGTGTGCGCGCGCTGTCGTCCGGAGGTGTGTGTGTTTGTGTGTGTGTGTGTGTGTGTGTGTGTGAGCGCGCGCGCGTTGTCGTCCGGAGCAGGGTTAAGTGCGTGTGTGTGTCTGTGTAAAGAGCAGAGTGAGAAGCTAGGAGATCTCCTCAACTGTTTTTGGAGTTTTTGCTCAATAAAATAGTCGTCTGAATTTTCAAGTCCATAGTCTGTATTTACATTGACCCACTGGCAGCTAAAATCCACGCCTACACTATCGAGCGTGTATGAACTGTGATTACTTTTATATTGCTGATTAGCTATTGGCCATTTCACTCTCTGACTGAAGGCAGTCGACCAATCACAACAGACTGTCATCGGTCCAATCAGCGCAGATTAGCTTCGTGCTAAGGAGGGGTTTGGGAACAAATGAATCACTGGACGATTCATACGGGAGTCGCTGAGATAATTAGGTAAAAATAAATGCAAATTATAAGACCATGAAAGTGTTTTTTGACCTTGCATGCATATTAAACTGTTGTTGGAGACCCTTACAACCAAGATATGACCCTATTTCATGTATAATATGGGCTCTTTAACTTAGAAGTTATAGTAAATTGAAACTGTGTCAGTCCAGTTTTCAGAGTTTCTTACATAATTGATCATAAAATCCATTTTGGTCATATTGATAAGACACAGATTTGAAAGCTGTAAATGGCTATTTTTATTTGTGTATATTCATAATTACAACAAAATGTTTTTCTAAAATTTGTAAAGCAGACAGGGAATACTTGTTCATTCTGTGCCTGACTGGTAAACACATCAGAAAAAAAGTTCTGGGGTAAAAGCTGAATATTTGCCTCGCAGACATGAGACATACCTGTCCAGCATCTGCATAAAGGCTGGAATGTGCACATTTCTCCTTGTGTGCTGTTGGGTCAGTTTCATCCATTCTGGGGGATTTTTAAGCTAAATTTGGCCAAAGCTTTCTCTGTGTTTCAGCAAACGGACTAATATTAAGGGGACATCTTATTTTAACATATTCTGGGAAAATGCTTTGGAAAAAAAAAAAAAAACTCGATACACTCTGGGAAAATTTACTCCCTTTTCATTATATTCATGGCTGTTTTTTTCTACATTGACCTTTATTATAATTTTTTTTTTTATTGCAAAGCCATGACAGCATATAATCATGCATTTATGATTGTTGGTGTTTTCTGTGACGACAGTCAACATTGTTTAATTGGTCTCCACCCATAAGATGGCAAAAAGGAAATGGGTGAGAGAATAAAGGAGGAATAGAGTTGAAGAGGGCAGCATTATGTGGTGTGCGGAAGAAAGAGAAGTTGACTGAACTTTTGCAGTGCAGGAAACGAGTAGAGAAACTGTCGAGACGAGCAGTGTAAACTTAACGATTGGCCGTGAGAAACAAAACGCGAAAGTACGTATTGAAGCAAACATAAAGTCCCTTTAAGTACTCTACAGTCTTTGATTCAGATTAAAGTGTAATTTAAAGATTAATTAGGTTATGTTATCTAGGAAAGTTAGAATAATTAGTCAAGTTATTGTATAACTGGTTTGTTGTGTAGACAATCAATAAAATATCCAGTAAATATTTCTTAAGAAAGCTAATAACACTGACTTATTATTTTTTTTTTTAATAAAACTGCTTTTATTCAAGAAATAAACTATAAGAAATAAGACTTATTATGACTCCAGAAGAATTATTTGTGTTTTATAGGAACTATTGTGAAAATCTCCTTGGATTAATTTAGATCACTTGGGAAACACTATTTTAAATTAATGGGAGGGGGAAAAAATGGATTTTAACTGCATCTGTTAAAGTTTACAGGTATAAAAATGTGCCTTGATGTACTGGAATGTTTAAAATGTGTCATCCTACAATACAAAGTTACTTGTCAAATAAATGAACATGGAAGATTATTTCGAGTTTAAGTTATTTAATTAGCTTATTTATGAAGACAGGGCAGCACAGTGGCGCGGTGGGTAGCACAATCGCCTCACAGCAAGAAGGTCTCTGGTTCAAGCCCTGGCTGGGTCCGTTGGCATTTCTGTGTGGAGTTTACATGTTCTCCCCGTGTTGGCGTAGGTTTTCCCCGGGGTGCTCCGGTTTCCCCCACATAAAACATATGCTGGATAAGTTAGTGGTTCGTTCCGCTGTAGTGACCCCAGATTAAAAGGGACTAAGCCGAAAAGAAATTTAATAAATGAATATTTATGAAGACTGCAGAGTGATGCATAAAAATGAAATAGCCCCCATGCTAATGCTAACCCCAAAGTGCAAGCTGCATCTAAGAAAGAGACGGCTCCGGCAAATGACAACAATGCGGTCCTTCAAACTATTGATGCACTAAAAGATGATTTGATTGCTAAAATTGAAGGCCGTTGCACAGTCAAATGAACTTTGCAATCAAATTGACCAGCTTCAGACAGAGTTACTCCGACTCTGGCTTTGCTAAAAGACCGAAGCAAGGATCTTGAGGAAAGGTCTCACCACTCAAATCTCCACATTACGGGAGTTAAAGAAGGACGGGAGCATTGCAGACGTGTAACGGAATTTGTAGCTGGCGTCCTAAAAAATACCCTGAACCCCGAGAAGACTCCACTTTTGGACCAGGAGGCTATACACAAATATATTATTCAAACTTCATAGCACTACTATTACTGTACAGTTTGTTATGGAGTCAAATGTGTTGGATAAAAATGGCAGATACATAATAATCCAAGGTAAATTTTTTAACATGTCTGTGGTCCTGGTTGATGTTTATGTTCCTAATTGGGACAATGTACTATTTTTCAGTGATTTATTTTCAATTTTGTCTAGTCTCGACACACACAATTTAATTTTAGGAGGCGATTTAAATTGTGTTTTGCACCCAATTTTAGACCGCTCTAGCTCTTCGAGTAATACATCAAGTCAGCCAGCACAATGTGTCAACTCGTTCCTTCAGGCATATGGTGTAAGTGACCCCTGGAGACTTAAATATCCACCTTCCAAGCAATTTTCCTTCTATTCACCTGCACATCAAATCTATTCCAGGATTGACCATTTTCTCCTGGACAAGCAGTTACTTCCCTTATTGTCAGAAGAAGAGTAAGGTAGTATTGTTTTTTCAGACCATTATCCAGTCTCAAAACAGCTATGTTTTCAAGGCAATGTTATCTCCCAACATACTCAATACTCTTGGCAGTCGACGATTTTGTAAAATTTATTGATGCTCAAATTGATTTCTTCCTTGAGACAAATAAATCCCAAGAGATAGGTTGTAGCATCCTATGGGATACTCTGAAATGAGGACAGATTATTTCATATCAAGCTAGTGCTAGTAAAAAAAGTCAAAACGGCTTACAGAGATGAATAATATTAATACAATTGATCAGCTACACTCAACATCACCTTCCGAAGAGCTCAATAAGAAAAGACTTCTTCTGCAAGCGGAATATTTATTTATTTATTTATTTTATTTATTTATACAGGGACAATGTACAACATGACATGCTGTGCCAGAGTTAGCTATAAAGCTAATTTACATCTGTAGTCCCTGGGCAGGAAGTAACAAATTTAACAGTAACAACCAATACAATATACACTTACAATACAATACATCATTGTTAATAAAATCTAATCAAATCAGTGGTTGCATATTTGATTTTGTTTGAGCCAAATTTTAAGAACAGTTTTCAAATGATTGAAAGTGCTGCTCTCTCTGATATACACTGGTATTTTATTCCATCTTTCTGCTGCTTTAACTGAAAAAAACTGATTGTCCAAAAGCAGTTCTCTTAAGTTTAACTGAACAATCACCTCTAACAGATGACCTAGTCTGTCTTATATTGTCCTTGCCAACAATCACACATTGTTTGAGGGGTGGTGGTTTAAGATCATGAAATATTTTATACATTAAACACACATCAGCACAAAATAAGAAACTGTCCAATGTTAATAATATGACTCCCTGACAAGTAAAAATGCAGAGGATCTCCACATAAGATCACACCAGATTCATTATGAACAAGGTGAACGAGCTGGCAGGTTATTGTGTTACCAACTGACACAATCCTCAGCAGCTGGTTTTATAGCAGCAGTTAGTAAGGATGATGGCAGCATTATTACTGATCAACAGGGAATTAATGGTTAATTTAAAAACTTCTATAAAACTCTTTGCAGCTCTGAGGTAAACAAAATTGAGCGTATTCAAAGCTTTTTTAATTATTTAGAATCACCGTCCCTCTGTGATTCAGATAAGTTGGCATTAGAAAGAAATATAACACCTTCTGAAATAGAAAATGCAATCACAAAATTGAAAACCGGAAAAGCACCAGGCCCTGATGGCTTCCTGGATGAGTTTTATAAGAAGTTTACTGCCAAGCTAACACCCCTGTTGTGCAAGGTATTAGGTATAAGGATGCACTTAAATGTGAATCTTATCTTCCGATCAGCTTACTCTGCTGTGATTATAAGATCCTGGCTAAAGTGCTGGCAATCAGAGTGAAGTCAGTCATGAGAAAGAGAATTTACCCAGATCAAGCATCCATTCGAACAAATAACATTATTTCTAAATGCTTTTCACTCTCTAGGGGAACGAGACAGGGCTGCCCTCTGTCCCCTCTGCTCTGACATTGCCATTAAACCTCTTGCAACTGTATTAAGGAACTCAGATGGCATGCGAGGAATTTTCAGAGGGACACGAACATAACCTCCTGCTATAAGTGGATGATCGTTTTCTTTTTCTGTCAAATCCAGATACATATATTCCAAAAGCTCTTACAATAATTTCAGAATTTGAAAATGTTTCTTGATACAAAGTCAATCTAGCAAAGAGTCTCCTTTTCCCTTTCAATGATAGAGCACAGCAAATGTCCACCCAAACCTTTCCATTTTCAGTAAGTCCTGATAAATTTGTATATCTGTGTGTGAGTGTGACACGTAAATATAAGGATTTGTTTAATAATAATTTTTAAATGACGTTAGACAAAGTAAAACGAGACATGACGCACTGGTCAACCTTTCCTTTATCTTTGGCTGGGAAGATTAATTCCATTAAACTGATAATACTACCAAGATTTCTGTTTCTATTTCAGACCGTGCCTGTTTGTATTGCCAAGATTATATATTTCAGCAGTCCAATTCTGGTTTAGGAAGGGAGTTGACTGTGTTAAAGACCTGTTTAAAGATGGCATATTTATCTCATTCAACAGTTAAGAACAGACATTGAGATTCCCCAGTCTAATTATTTTAGGTACCCTCAGGTCCATAGTTTTATTAAAAAACACTTCTCTCCTTCACTGAACCAACCAGAAGCATGCTGGATAGATGAATTGGTAAATATGGACCCATATCAAAGATGTATGATGCCCATGTTATATGAAGTGATCCAAAGAACTGCCTCCCCTTCCCTAAACCATATAAATCAGAAATGGGAAGACGAACTGGGACTAGAAATATTAGATACAGCCTGGCAATATGCCATAGAACTGGTACGCTCATCTTCTGTATGTGATTCAGATTCATCCTGTCCCAGATGTGGTTTGGAACCAGAAGATCTGAGTCATATGTTCTGGGGATGCCCTAGATTACATAGATTTTGGACCAATATTTTTAAATAATTTTCATCTAAATGTGATAAAGATATGGATCCTAATCATTTGACCTCAAATTTTGGTACAGTGCCAGAAGAAATGTACCTGTTAGCTAATCACATAGAAATCATGTGAAATGTAAATTAAATTTAATTACAAAACTAACCCTAACCCTAACAAGCAAACAAGTGAAAACGAGGAGTGAAAAAAAAAAAATTGCACGTCTCCCTCCTGGTCCTCAAATAAGTTGCGCACCTTTCTCACCCCCGGATCCCTTCTTGCTCTTCAGACACGTCACACACTGTCTGCATTAGTTTCAAAAACACAGATTTCTTAACGATTTAAAACGGCATCTTTGGATATCTTTTTTTTGCTGAAGATACTGTTGTCCTGAAAAACTTAAAACAAAACGTAAAAAAAAACAACTTGCATATACCGTAGGAAAGGTACAGCAGAACATTTTGGCAGTTTTAAAACCTCAACTTTTTTCAAACCGCGGTATACCTTGTAAACTGTTATCATCACATGCATAAGCAGCAGAACATTGTTTTTAGGATCTAAAAATTCTTTTTTTTTTTAAGTCTCAAGCAAAAAGGATTCGAATGTCGCCGCCTGTTGATACGTGAAGAATATGGTCAATACTGAAGAACTTTACACTCAGATGTTTGCATTTCATTAGCATGCTGTAATCCATTTCTTAAGCAGAAAAAGTCATTTTTAGACTAGTTTGTTGGCCAGTTGTTCCACTATACTTTGTTGATTTTGTTTCACGTCGTCCCACAGCAACATCATATAGTTTAGAATACTGTACAATGTTTTATAACAATTTATTATTTTAGTATCCATTTCATTCAGCAAGTTTAAAATTGGAGGCATCCACATTTTTTGACATACTTTAAACCAGGGTTTCTGCAGGTTAAATTTAAGACTTTTTAAGATATTTTTAAGACCATTATGACTGAAATTTTAGACTCACAAAGGGCTAAAGGCTAAGGAATTTTTCAAATGGCTAAGATGGAAAAGATTTTATTTTGCCCGATCAAAAAAATATATTTTAATTCATTTAATTATACAATAATAAATATTTTTTTAAAAATTGTATTTTAGATATTTTTTAGCAAAAGATTTTAAATTGTGTGTAGCAACAAGTAAGCTTTACTTGTATTCATACACTTTTTTCCCAAATAAACTTTCTTTAAAAAAAACAAATAAATGAACAAATGCTTTAAACGTTTTAAAACCTATAATAAACAAAATCTATGCACAACAATCTGTCTAGGTCGATGTCCTCAGCAGTAATGGAGCACGTTTAAACAAATGTTATTGTAAGTAAAGATTTAAACCATTATGATGAATAGAGTTAAAATGACCTTTTTGAATGAAAAGTTTTATTGAGATGGGTTGTTGGTGATTGTAGATTGAAAATTTAGATTTTGGAATTTAAGGCACCGCAGAAACCCTGTTTAAAAGCAATAGCCCTGGTAATTAGCTATTATAATAATGATGTAATTCTAACTCAGATACTATCTGTGAGAACTCGTAACAACTACTAGAAACAAGTTTAAACCCATAAAGCAGATAGCAGATATCTTAGCAGATATAATAGCAGATATCTTCTATGAGAATACTGTAGGTCAAATATCGTCAGCTTATTTGAACTTTAATTTATTTGTTTTTGTTTATTGTATATAGCGCCAGTGCTCAAGGACACTTTACCAACAGCAGGAGAACAAGAAAAGCAATAACCTTAAAAAGGTAATAATAATAATAATTCCTTACATTTATATAGTGCTTTTCTGGGCACTCAAAGGGCTTTACACAGTGGGGGGAATCTCCTCATCCACCACCAGTGTGCAGCATCCACCTGGATGACGCGACGGCAGCCATTTTGCGCCAGACCGCACACCACACACCAGCTGATTGGTGGAGAGGAGACAGTGATGCAGCCAATTGAATATGGGGATGGTTAGGAGGCCATGATGGACATAGAGATAAAGTTGGTTTTATTTTCACACGTTCGTTCATTTAGAAGTCTCTGTATTGTTTACCATGTTACTTTGAATATTCGAAAGGAATTAGCATGCAAGTGTGGCTTGAAAACAACATTAACACTGTTTATTTGACTGTGACCAATGTTGTACTTTGATAGTCATTGAGTGCTAATATGATTTCGCTATTTAGAGTTTGCAAATAATACTTTAAAGAAATTATATTATTAAGGGGAAAGTCTGAATGTATAAATATAAAACCAACTTTACCTCTATATGATGGACAAAGGCCAGTGAGCAGATTTGGCCAGGATGAAAAAATGGGAGACTAATAATACATTAAAAGAATGACAAAAGACACGTGAACAAGTGACAAAAGAAACTCATTCCTGTCTTTCAATGAGTGCTTTTGTGCGTTTAGGAGATCTAGGCAGCACACTCAGGGCTGCAAGATGGATTTAATTTAGTATTCTTATTATTAAAATATATCAGTATGAAAACCAACCTGTTTGTTCCTGCAGATCTTCCTGTTTGACTGTGAATGACTCTTCAATCTTCACATCTTCACTCTCCTCTTTAATAAACTCCATCTTTATAACAGTGTGGAGATCAGTCGCTTCAGCAGGAGTTTTTCTCTCTGTGTTTGGACACTTAATCCAGTTCAAAATGAACAAAACAATAAACAGAAACAAAATAATTTCTCTATAACACTTGCTTCAATGGTTTCTTTATTTGAGAGTAATTAACAAAAAGAAATCAGGTGAAACATTTAATTAAAACACTTATACACTTTTCTGTTGTTTTATTCAAACAACAGCCTTCAGTTACTGAGAATAAAATAGTACTACTAAAATACTATAATAGTTGTATAAAGGGTTAAAATAATATTTCCAACAGCAGGAACATAATATAGCATCGTATAAAAAACTTAAAACTTTAGAACTTTAACTTTAAATCAGTTTATATCTGTAAACGTTTTAAAACAAACCTTTCTCCAGTTGAATCACAGCGACGAAGCGGCGCTGCCTGATGACGTCACGCGCCACGGCAAAATAAAAGTCTTTTTTGTTTAACTTTTTGGCCACAATCTGTTGCAGTCATGACTTATTGATACATTTCTCCCATGTTTTTCACTTTACACTTTGTCTGCTCTCTCTCTCACAAACCTTAAATCTAAACATTTTCTTAACTTTTTTTAATCCACTTTATAATGACTTGTATATCTACAACACTTTCTATTAATATCTGAGTCCAAATCTCATCCTCATAATTATGACCTCTTCTATTTCTACAACTTCATAGGCCTATATAGGGTTTCTTTTTTCACATGAATTGTTGTCTCTTATTATCTGTGTTCCACGTTTCCTGCCATTCTTTAGCAATATCTGTAGTAATATTTAATTTACCTTTACTTACATAAGCATTAAAGGAGTAGTTCACATAAAAAATTACAATTCTGTAATTTACTCATCCTCTACTAGTTTCAAAACTGTTTCTGCTGAATGCAAATAAAGAGAATACAGGGGCAAAAAACAGCCACTGTATGGTTCAACACAGGCCCGGATTGGCTAATCGGGAGGACCGGGAGAATTCCCGGTGGGCCGGTCCGTTTTTTGGCCGCGAGGGCCGGTGTCCCTAGCTCCAGAATCTGTTGCTCTCAGCAGTCACACTTTTTAAATTTATTTATTTACTTGACCACAGCCTTTTTATTCATTATTTTATCGCAACTCTTCTTTTTTTATCTATTTTAATGATGATAAAACTTAGTTGTGTCTCCTTACTCCATACAGCTGTTGTGGTCCAGCGGTTAGTGCGTTAAGTTAAGACTCTGCGGGCCCGGGTTCGATCCTCGTTAGAATAATGTAATGTTTTCATTTTTATTGTTAAGACATATAATACTGTTAGGGTTGTTGGACATTTGAAGTTCTAAAGCAGCTGTTTTCTCAAAAAAAGATGTGATAGTGTCATTAGAAACTGAATTGGAAATTATCTTATTTTAATATAGTCAGTCGTGAACTGAGGTGGGCCGGTCTGAGGCTTGAAACTCCAGGGCTGAAAAGGAGTCCCACTCCGGCCCTGGTTCAGCAGTTCCTATGGACTTGGGGGAAACCAGAGCAGCTGGAGGAAACTCATGCGAACATGGGGAGAACACACAAACAAAAATGTCAACTGACCCAGCTGAGACTCAAACCAACGACCTTCTTACTGTGAGGTGATCAGTGCTACCTACTGCACCACTGTGATGCCTCACATGTATAATTATTTGAGGTATTAAACTGGTATTGGATAAGAACTTCGCTTACAAATAGTTGTTATTTTTAAAATGTGTGAAAAAGCACCATTCAGATGTAGCGACTGTATTGATCTGGGCAATCAAGCATGTATTGTTATAGACTCTATGCTTATTTGTCTAAAGAGATGTTAGGCAGGTCCTGTTCATGTAATATGTTCATGTAATAGTCTATCAAGTTGGTATTGGCATGAACAGCTATACCTGTCAACGGGTTTCTTATATGTTAAACGGTCCTATTCAGTTAATGATCAGGCAACTATTACTAAAGATGACCGCACACAATGATGAGCCATTTATTTAAATGAATATGTGACACAGATATTTAAAATTCATTGTTGCAAACACGTTACAGGAGTAAGTGCAGTTGTTGTTGTATGTGATGTTCACCACTGTAATTACACCATAGTGAAAAAAAGAAGTCTGAGAAATGCTGTAGTTGGTGTAGGTGGAGCAGGTTAATCACATTAAAAGTTCTGCATTGTGTAGATATGAAAGTGAACTCTTGTCATTGAATTATTCTGTATAAACTGCCTATACAATAAATTTACTAGTGATGTAATTATTTTCTAATTATAAATATTTAGATGCATCACAGTATGTGATCGCTTTAATGTGTTAAAAGGAAAAGGTTTTGTCAGAGTATCTTATATATGCTTCTGTGAATGTCTATGCATATTTGTGTGCACAAACACAAGAAATAAGTAGAGAGAAAAACATCTTTAATACATACCAGGTGAATAAGAGGATTTCGGGAAAGCTGAGCTGCTCACACATGTTCTGTTCAACTAAAAAACGAAGGAAAGAAAACAAAATTGGCACAGAAACAAGCTACATTTTGATAGTTACAATTTATAAACATAAAGTGTTTACAGTCTTCCAGAAGCCAGTAATAAGCTGCATGTGCTTTAAGATAAATAAAGGACTCTAAACTCACACAAAGAACAAGTTCAGTAATAAATAAATGACTAAAACTCTGCTAATAGTTAGCTCATGTCAATATATTGACTGAACTTAACACAAATAAAAAATTGTTTCTTTCAACGAATGATAATATATCACAGTATAACAGTATACATCTTCTATAACTATTATATAAGTGAATGTAGTTGTGTGTATTGAGACATCGATATGGATTGAGTTTTCAATGCTCATTTGCATCTTTACACAAAGACTTCAGCCAAGCAACTCTGAGAAGCTTCTACAAAAACAACACATAACTCTTGCATTACCTTTTAACCAGGCCTGGGAAAAAAAAAAAAAATTGAAATGTGTTTCAAATCAATAGTACTATAAAACAACAGCAACAAAACAAATGATGATGGCTAAAGTGAACTTATTTTCCCAATACATCATTATTTCTCTGTAAAAACTGGTTTGTGAAGCTGCTGAACTTCTCATCCTCCACAGTAATGTGTCTCCCAGACAGCACACACGTTGGGCCGACGTCAGCCGAGTGTCAACACGTCAGCCCCTTTAATTCTAACATCTATGTATCGTCAGCCAAACATACGTGATCATTCGGTCGTGTGTTCTATTGTTCCAGCTCATCAAACGTTGGCTCTGCATCAGTTAACCACCAGAGGCCGACAAAGCACTTCATAAGCACTTTATCTCTCGTTCCCATGAAAAAATCCGGCAACATATTTGGTTTAGAAGTAAGTTTTCGCGTGCATAATAAATTAAACAAACGCGACATACATCATGTCTATTGCGTCGGTCGGTCCAGCTTTAAATAATAATGAAGATTTCTATTAATGAAAACTTTTTTCCCCCGGTGTAAACTGCTGTTTGCTTTTTTATTGTGGCTTTTTTTAAAACATTTTTTCCCAGTGCAAGTTAAAATCAAGGTCTGTATTTCGTCCGTTTATAGGTTCAGGACACACTGGAGAACTTTTTTTTTATATTAACAGATTTGTGTGTGTTGAGCATCAGTTAAGACAATGTTAGCACCTGTCAGCTTTAATTGTGGGGAAAACTGGATAATTTTGAGCTTTAGTCAGCTAATTTCAGCTTCCAGGTTTAAAATGATTTTTGGGGCGGGATCAAAATCGGCGACGTAGCGCAGTACTGCAAGTGCAATGATGACGGGTCGATTTCTCATTATTATTCATAGCAGAGTTTTTTTATAATATGAGAAGAACCGGCTGCTTAATTATTCATGAGACCTGCCAGAGTCAAGCCCGAGCTGTGAGACACGTCACGGACCCACGGCACACAGTATTTAGCCGTTCATGAAGGCTCATATGCGTTTTTTTCATGATCCACGGGGTTTGTTGCATGTTTTCCCCCGCGATCTTGTCAGGGCCGGTCATACAGCAAAGCTGTGTGTGTGCTGCTAGCATTTTTGTCGGGAGAGCAGCACGAGAATGAAAAAATGGCGGACGCTTATCAGGAGTTCGTTCACATTCAGACACATCACTGTGCTGGGTCTGCTGGATACGGGGATTGAGGGAGAAGTCCTCATTTATAGGGTTTACATGAACACACTTATCTTTATAATGATATAAATTGTGGTTATGTGTATATGAAATTACGAATAACAAATGTAGCACGGCATTAAATCACTGTTCATTTCTTTGCATTTTAACTTTGTGAACTATAAACTCATGCGTCTCCTCACGGTTTGTCTTAATTTGTGAGCTAACTGCCATCAACAGTTGTTCGCTCCCCTTCTCCCCTGCTGGCCACGCCCACTCCTGCCCGATGCTCACGGAGCTCCACGCCCATTAATCAAGCATCTTTTGAAAAAATTCTGAAGTAGACTTTAACCGAAAGTGGGGGTGTCATGGCCCTTTAAGGTCTCCCTTTGCATTGAACTTTGAGCTTTTTACAATCAGAGATGTTGTTTAAGTTCACACAGCTACATTACACATCAACTAAAGTTTAAAATATGATATTGTAGTTGACCACTCATTTAGCTACAAAATGCAGCAGCCAAAAAAGCTTCCATCAAAAGTCAACTTATTTCCCAATACATCTTTATTTCTCTGTAAAACTATGGTTCGCATAGCTGCTAAACTTCCCATCCTCCGCAGTAATGTGTTTTGAGTCTTCACTGTTGCCCACTGCTCATTTGCATCTTTATACCAGCATTAATGGGGGCCAATTGAGTATTATCCAATCACATTCCAGATCAAGTAGCTCAGCAGGGTTGTATCTATATATTCTGGGTTCCTAACAGAAACTTCATATGCTTATTTAGCTATAAGAGAAGAACTTTGGAGGACAAACTACGATTGTTGATTCCTACATTGGGATTATTGCCATAAACAACCTACAAAGAAAAGCCCACTGAGG